CAGAAACTAAATTTCGTATCGCTTTGCTGCTTTTAATCGACAAAGCAATTCATTATGATCCAAAAATATGATAGCGCTTGAGACAGTTGGTAGGACTCAATACAAATTGATAACATATCGAAACAAATAAAGTCTTTCGAAGTGATTCTGGCGGGAGAATCACTGAATCAAGATTCCTAGGAAACGGAAAGCATGCCAAAATTGCCAGCAAGCTGGCCGCTAAGCAACATAGCACAGGTCAAGCAAATAAAAAAGTTGCCAGCCGCAGCTGATCAAAGTGAGTACCACGCCGCACCAGCGACACATGGTACTCATGCTGATCACCCGCAGCTCTTATGGATCCTGATGTTGCAAAATTGGACGTTTTTTTTTCCAGGAGCTTGTGGAGTGCTCGACATACGATACATTGTAATTTGTGCTTGTGCTTATTGTTGGCCGAACTCGTATTTGTATTGGGCATCAACCGAACATCAATTTTGGTTTGTTGTCGAGCTATAGCCGCAGCTCTTCATTATCTCTTCTTGGCTGCCTTTTGTTGGATGTTACTCGAGGGATATCAATTATATTTGATGCTAATACAGGTGAACTTTTCTTCCTACTTTTCTATTTAATACCTTAATCAGCTATTTTCTAAGTTTCTGTTTCTCACCTTTAGTATTTATTTGATTTCTCTCATAATTTCTCCTTTAATCTTTATTTGATTTCTCTCATCCGCGTAAATACTATAAAGCCGTTCAAGTGGGTCCTTTCATTGCATTTCTGGCTTTTTTCGTTTTTTTTTTTGTGCGTTACTTCCAAGTGCGACTTAATGGAGCGAAACATCATTGTCCGTCTGATTATTTTCGGTATGTTTTTATAAGTGGTATATATCCTATATGTGTTAAAAACACTGGTGATTATACATATAGTTACTGGATTGTTTATACCGGACGCATATGAATTATTTAATCTGGCTTTTTGTCTGGATTTCATTATAATTTTACGTGACATTTTTTGGCGTGGCTGAGCTGGACTGAGAAGGGAAGGAGAAAGAAGTTGTTGGAAACGAAACATTATAGGAAGTCAAAATCTAATGATTAACTGGGAGAAAAAGATTCATAACCTAGATTTTACTTTAATGAATCACTTTTCCTGTTATTGGTGCGTTGGCCGTGAACAGTTTGCAAATGGAGGTATTTTCGCAACCAAGCAATGTGGGTCAGCAGGCAATCGACCTCATAAGTTCTACTACAGCAGTTGTCCCTCAGTTTGGGTGATATGAAAAAGAGAGGGATTTCTAAAACGTAGAAGAGAAAGGCAACAAAAGACAGTCTGATCAAAGCAAAATCAAATGTGTATTGGTGAACTGTACTGATTGGCAGAAAATCCCTTCCCGCCCCGTCCCAAGAACGAAAAAAACTAATTTTTTCTTTCATACATTGCATTTAGATGTCTTTGAGGCAAAACAATGAGTGCCGCTTCGTCCGTGCAGAAATTACGGGGATTTGATGCAAGTGATATAGCTGAAATGCTCTTACATGTCAGGCACAGCTATTTAAAGTTACTGTCGATCTTGGCTACTGCAGATTTTGATGAGAAGGCTTTTTTATTCCGGCTGTGAGATTCCAGAACCGTAGGAAAGCCATTTGTGTGTCTGGATTCCCTCATTATTTATTCGGAATCTTGTTGCCAAGAGTAAACAGCAAATTTCGAAATGATGTCCAATGCCATTCTTAACACCTCCATCTTCTTCCAGGTCTTCGAAAAAGGTGAAGTGAAAATTGTCGTTTATTATTTATTCGCTTATGGTTTTCCAGCTGTTATCGTTGCTGTTACAGCTGGTGTTGCATGGCCTAATTATGGCACAAAGCAATAGTAGGGTATTTTTGTCAATAAAAATAAGTTTAAAGACAAATCGTTACATTTCGCAACCCAGGCTGGAACGCACCGGGCGGGCCAGTGCGATCATGCGTTTTTGCACCGGACTTAAATTACTCAGGTCATTATCTGCATGAATGGTTGTTG